AGTATGCAGATGATATTGATGATGAACACTTTTCATGGAGACTTAGATTACTAGAGTTCCTTACTAGGACAGGGCTATTCACTAGATATTACAAACAGATGAACCAATGGAAGTGTTTGGTGGATTGTCAATATCTAGATTTTTCACATTTAAGACAAAACAGACCTTATTTATCAGAGAGTTAAACTCCATAAGTCGACAATCCTTCCTTAAGTCATCTTTTGGCTTGCACATCATGATATAGGATTTTCCATCAGAACCTTTTAAAGTGATCTTCTTTGGTTTCTGAAGAGATGGAAGGATTTCAACCTTGAGAAAAATACAACCAGAGTCACATGAGGTTTGTTTATTTTTTTTAAGTTTACATATGCATTCTTTTGTGAAAGATTTACAATTGAAACAAGCTCCTCAGAATTCCAACCATACTTCTCCTTTTCAATGTCTTTTCCCGTTTACATCTTATATGTATATGTTGCTCACTTCTGCAGGGTTGTGTCACATGAAAATATAGAAGTTTAAGGAGGAATCAATAGACACTAACCGTATCACCAAAACCAGCAATATAAGCCCAACATCCAGGAAAAGGATCATGTTTGGAATGTGTGCCGGGAACTGAAGGAAGAGTTGGTATCATTATAGATTGCAAGGGAATAATGATTTCACTAAATGTTTGGTCTTCTACCAGCTTTTTTAGACTTTTGAAATGAGTACCCATGCTTAATGCAGAAGTATTGCCATCAACCTGGAAAAAAGTTGAAAAAATACAGATTAAAGGGAAATACTTAAAGATACTACCATCTTAATTTCTCTAAACAACTTATATTGTTGTAAATACTTCTCGCTCCTCCCTCAGTTTTGTAAAGGTAACACTGCAATTGAGTACTAAAGGTAAACTCAAGAGTATATCACATGTGTTAGAGTAAAACTGAGCAAATAGTTATGAAAAATTCTGAATCAGGAGGCCATCAAAGAATTTCAGAAGATCAGTCTATGCTTCACAGACTATAGCAAAGCCTTTGACTGAGTGGATCAAGAGAAGCTACAGGTTGTTGTGAGAGAAACCGGTGTGCCTTAGCACTTGATTGTCCTGATGCATAACCCGTGTTGTGGACAAGAAGCTACTGTTAGGACAGAATATGTGGGTCACTTGGCAACAGTTGGGCTTGATTAGAATTATCTAATCAAACCTGACCATTCACAAAGAAAGGGCTCCTGCCCATATTGTGAAGTGGTTTAATAAGCAAGCCACTTCAAGATATTGGCAAATTAATCACTCCCCCTGCTTCGCAGTAGGTAGGGGAAGTGAATTTTTTTTTAACCAAAGCCAGTGCCGTGGATTTGACTGCAGGTGGCTTCTCAATCAGCCCTTTAAGGAACGGCATAGGTCACTGTTAGCTAGAGGCAACATGATGGCACATAACAACAACACCAATATCCTGCAGATTACCACAGATACCACAGTGTGATCCTTTAAGAATCTGGTTAGTATCCAACCAGTATTTCTCTACAGATGGAAAATATCGCTCAGCAGAAGGGACAGGATTTTTGACAATTCCTCCTCCTACTGCAGCCCCTTTCTCCAATCTACTCAAGAATTTTGCGGGCACTGAGAAGTCCAAAGTGCAAGTGGTAATGCTGAAAATGTCCTTTCCATTCTACTTATGGATGCCCTCCACTGGTGCAAGGACCCTGCCTGTCTTTATTAAAAAGTGACCAATAATCAATTCTGAATATCTGGCAAATTTAATACAAATTATATGCTTGTATGCAAGAACCTGAAACCAAAGTTACTTATGACTAAGTTATCCATTTGACTATAAAGGGAATAATATAGGATTACATTAGCCTGAGTCTAATCCTTTGCCCCCAAACTGTATTAACTTAGAACTTTACAGAGAACACACTAAAATGGATAGTTAATTTTACAACATAGATAAAATATTTTAGTGTGGTTCTTGTGCAGGAGAGGCTCCATAGCTAGTGAAAGAGTGCCAGCTTGGTATGCAGAAGGTGGCAGATTCTGGCATCTCACACTGGCAGGGTTAATAAGGCTAATCTATTAAAAACTATAGCTTTTGTACAGTATATTACCGATTTATTACAGAGCTCTAGCAGTTTATCTGTCAATCGAGCTGCATCTCCAATGAATTTTGCCAAGGATGCTTCCATACTAATAGCTTTGTTGAAGATTTCCTTGCACCTGTTCACACGCATTGGATACGAAGACTGTAAAAATAGAATAGCTTATTCAGCGCATCTTAGATTCAAAATGTCAAGGCTAGTTTACAATATACAATAAAACATACAGTAAGGAAGTTTACAGAAGTAAAAGTACTGCACTGAAACATTTGCAGCAGAATATTTTTTAAAAAAATCAGAGATTATAAGCCAGAGAAAATAAAAGAGGTTGTCTGATATTTAAAAACCATCAACATAGGCCTCAGGCACATGTCTCTGAGGAAAGAGTTCCATAGGTAAGGATTTCAGATGAGGCCTCTGAAGAAGACTGTAGTGTGCAGGGAGGTTAATGATGGGTAATATGTTCTTTCAGTATCCAGATCACAAGAAAATTTAACAAAATTGATAATGCACTAAAACCTATTTGTTGAGTTATTTCAAAACACTCAAGGTTTTTGAGTTAGCTGCAGCATATCCTGCTCAGTTTGTTTTTCTTTTGAAGGTGTAGGGCATCTAGCTAAAGAGCATTTCAACTGTGTTTATAGTTACCTTAAAGTAACTCCATAAATTCAGCTAGGACGACAATAGTTGATCATAAAGTTCAAGAGATATTGGCCAAAATTCTGTTGCAGCAGAGTAGGCCCATTAATTCAGTGGAGATTGGGTGAGTCAATTCCTTTGCAAGTTCTAGTGATTCAAATGGGCCTACTCACAACTGCAACTTACTTTAGCATAGTAACTTGCAGCTAGAGTAGACCCATTTAAATAAATAGAATCTACAGAAAAGTTCACTAAATCCCCATGGATTCAATGGACTACTCTAGTGTAAGTGATACACGAAGCAACCGGATTCTGGTCAGTGAAAGTGAGGACAGTCCTATCAATAGGTGATTTCGTTTTTTCATTATGGTCAATCCTCCTGAAGCTGCAGCTTAACACACAAACCTGGGATACCTTAAAGGGAGTAACAGTTCTATATGTACAAAATTATTTGTGTTTGTGCTTCACATATGAAGTTGGTTGTTAGTAAGGGAGAGAACATCTAGGTTAAAAAGGAAATAATTATGAATTTACCTTAGATACTGCAGTCATCATCCACATTGCTTGTTGAGGATAGGCAAGGAACACCTTAGCAATGATTGCCATAAGAACAACAAAGACTTCATCATGGGAGTGGCAGATTCGGGAGATCAGCTGAGAGAATGCTGTCAGAAACTGATAAGGAGCCAAGAGCTGTGTATGCTCTGCAATTGCCTTGTTAATTTTAGCCAAGTCATTCCTCATTTGTGTGCGATCTTGTCGACCAGCTAGATGACACAACATATAATATCAACATCTTCTTTTCCCAAACAACAAAACAAAAGCTATGAAACGATATATATAAATAAATAAGCAAGCAAGCAACAGCCCCTCCATAACCGTATCTTTTAAAAACATTATCTGGGATTTTACATTTACCAGCGCTTCAAACCATATTAAATAGAAACTATAGATTCTATAATGTATCTATAATACACCCAATCTGCATTGGAAAGGTTTACATCCAAAAGCACCTGATTTCAGATGACAAACTCCCCCAAGTCCAGCAAAGTTTACAAAATGAATAGTCTAAGCATATAAAAACAGCAGTTAAAATAACATTTTTTCTGTCATTTCATTGCCAAAATATTGTAAAGCAGCACAGTACTCTGTCAGTATGAAGGATACTACACACTGAGACTACAACACTATAAAACAGAAATGAATTCAACAGATGCAGGAAATTTACCTTTGATCCAAATAACATTTTAAACCAAGTTTGTTTTGAGTTGTGCAGCAATAGATAAAATAAACCAGAATCTATAATGATTTATCCTGCACTCCCCTACAAATTAACTTCTCAAAATAATTCTTTCAATACTAGTTTCAAATGCAGTAATCAGTAGCTTCTTGTACTGAAGCTATTTTTGGTTACAAATTATTGCAGATACCTAACTGCAATCATTTGCAGTTACTTGCAGATAACTAACTGCAATAACTGCAAACTTCTGCTCTGAAAAAGAAGCCAGAACTTGAATCACAGTAGGAATTTTATTATTTGGATTACATACATAAATCAGTATATAAAAAACCTAAAAATAAATAAATAAATAAAGCAACGTAGCCAGTAGATATCTATTTATTTATTATTTATTTATTAAATTT